TTGATTTGAGATATTGAGAAGCAAATCAAACTCAAATTTCAGGATTCGTGAAATATAATTCATTTACTAGATAAAGTTTTATTTATATTTTCAATTTAGGTGAAGCTTATTTTAAACATTATTCTATTAAATGTCGAAGTCCAATGATAAATATTGTTTGGAGTATATTCAATGCAATTTCAATAAAAAACACTCGTCCATCAAAATCTGTTATTATATTTTATACTAAATTTGATTTCTTTTCTATTTTTCAACCAACAAGTAAGAAGATTTGTTTTTTTTTAATTTTATTCTAATTTAGTTTCTTTATCATTTAGATGCTGGTGCTCAATCAACAGCATTTGGTGTAATTACATTACTTGGTTTAGCTTGGTTATTAGGTAGAATTAATCTAACTCAATTGTTAATTACAAATAATAATAATATTAATAAAGATATTGTTCTTTTGTTTATTAATGGTGAAAATTGGAATTATTATGGAACATTTGAATTAAGTAAAATCATTTTAGAAAAACGATTTCCTTATAAAATAGACAAATCATCCCATCAAGATAATTTACATCCAATTGAACCTGAACATATTGATATTATAATTAATATTGATCAATTAGGTATTAATCATAATCATACATATATTTTGTATGATAATATTCATCCATTCCTTGAAAAATTCAAGTAAGAATAAAAAGAACAGATTTATACGATTTGCTAACCGTTGATTACATGAATATATCATTTATAATGAAGGATCGCCACTTTAATTCATTGGTGATGTATGATCCAATATTTACTTCTGCAAACTCAATGTTTCCTCAAAAAAAAATTTTTAAGTTTCCTTAATTAAAAAAATATTACTATTAATCGGTGAAAAATAATGGCGTTTGTGCAAAAAATGTGATACGCTTTTCAAATCTATCAATCTGATGGAAGTAGAAAAGTGTTTGAGCCTACCCTAACCTACGAAGCGTGAATCTAGGATAGGCCCAACTCTTGTGATTCCACCCCGTATGCTTATTGGACACAAGTTGATAGTAGATAAAATGTGCACTAACCTTGTAAAACTAGGCATGTGTAGTTCTAGTGTAAATACTGACACCGATTTTATCGACAGTATGTCTACTGAATACTACTATTCATTGACTCATACTGAAGCTCACTGAAACACTGACAATGCTGATATCAGTGCTCAATGAGACACTGAGGCACCGATTCTGTGAGAGTATACACCTTTGGTGCATTAGTTTAGAGTAGGCGTGGGTATTAGAATTCATCACACATCCCCACATTCAATATGTCATATCGTTATCCCCGTACATGAATATATGTAACTTTATGAATAATAAAAGTTTTTAGTCGAAAATGAGA